GGCATACCTGCTGTACATTCGAACGCTACGTAGACATTACAATTTTGAGTTTTGTTATTAAATGATGGTATTTCGAGCTTAAATGGTAATTGATAGTCAACGAAATTTTTTCCTAACGTGTTTTCCGAGTAATCGTAGTATTTTGGTTCGTAAACGTATTTCTTGGGTGCAAATTTAGATTTCTATATTAAATAAATGCATTCAACTCAGTATGTAGTTCAACTCATTAATTGATTAGGTTCAAAATGTAAATTATTACATTAATATTATCGTTATGATCGTTATCGTTGTTTTTATAATCAACTCTTGCTATGAATTTAGTCCCTTTCAGTACTTGTAAATGATGTACACGCATTCTCCAGATAACACGATACGTCCCAGCGGGAACATTTTCGAGTACGGTTGATAACTACATGAAAATATTTTAATTAGTTCAGTGTAAGATACGCGCAGTAAAAATATATTGCTTACATTTAAAAAATGAACCAGCTCGTCTCGTGAAGGAATTAGAACAGTTTTTCCACATTTACTGTATTTATCATTTAAATCTCTTATTAGTTTAATGAATATGGCCAGAATCGATTTAATTGGATTTATTATTCACCTTTTTTCATTATTCAAAATGTATGCGTCTCGTGCATTGGTTTTAACAATTCCGGATTCATCATACCAAAAAGAAGTGATTTCACATTTTTCAGCAAGGAAAGCGGTTTTTCGGTCTTTTAAATCGCAAAAAGAAACATTAGAACCCAAAAATTAAAAAAGTCAGACAAAATTAGTCTACTTACATTGCTCAATACAAATTTGCTTCCAATTACATTGAATTTGGTTAGAATTTTTTTTCAATTTTGTAATAGTCTCCTTGACAAAGCTATCGCCAAATTGATTCAAACACACTAAACGCCATAGATAATTGTCTCGCGTATATTCACATAAATGCTTGTTAACCTATAAAAGGGAACACATATTAGATATGTCAATTGACTATCCAATTCACTTCTGAATTCCTACCAATGCGACAGCAAAAATATCAGTGAGCGTTAATTGACCAAGAATATGAAAAATAATTTCGGGTGAGAATAGAGTGAATATATCATGAGACGAGTAAACTCTTTTGCGAGTTTTAAGTTTTATCTCTTGGCGAGACATCTTCGATGATTGAATTATTGGAAGTTTACGTATTAATCTAATAATAACGTCGGGAAGCTACTAATATTATAAACTCTGCAGAATATTTGAGATACTCCAAACGTATTCAAAAAATCTTGATTATTATCAAATTGGTTTTTTTATTCGTGTGGATTATTCTCGTCTACTCCAAGTATTTATGAGTTAACTCTGAACTATTTAATGAGGTTAGAATAGAAAAATGTTTAACGCTTATTTTAGGAAATCACTCGATAACACGCGACGTCAGACAACATTAAAATATTCAAGGATAATTGGACAAAGTAAATTATGATCAAATCTAATTGGCTATTTCCATTTTTTTGTTTATTATCGTTATTGACACAATGACTTTTACATAATCATTTGTGCAGTAATTCGGCTGTTTCATTATCTTATTGACACTATGACTTTTAGATCGGCAATTCTATACGCGAATTCTACTGATGCCCGTGATTACAATTATACATAATTCGCCTTAAATGTGAAGTGGGACAGGGGTACAATACATTTGCCAAGACAGTTCCCATAGTCTTGTGAGAAGGACAATGTGTTACACGATATCATTAATTTATTCACTAAATTGCTCTATTAAAAATTAATGCGACGGTTTTACAGTGTGTAACAAAAAAAACCGGATATTTTAATTTTCTCCATAAATATTCATTTAAATAACATAATATACTTGAAAGTATGATAAACAATTTTATTTAAGACTACTTGAACACTTATCTTATTAAAATTTTTTATAATTAAATTAAAAATTTTTAATAATAAGAAAACTTAAATAAATTATTATAAATAAATTTGATTATTATTTTGCAAATTAATCTTAAGTAAACTTATTTACTAAATTATCAAGTATATTCATTGAATAACAAATAAAAAAAGATTAAAAAAGCATTTTAAATTTTTTATAATCAATTTTTTTAAAAAAAATTTAATAAAAAAATATTAATTATGAAAAATTTTATTAAGATAAGCTATTAAATACTTTTAAGTAAACTTTTTCACTAGATTATCAAGTATATATATTTAAAATTTATATGAATTAAATAAATATTCATTAAATATAATCAAAAATAAAATATTCAGTTTTTTTTGTTATATGATGCTAATTCTTACATATAATTAGATGATTCTTATTTATTGGATGATTATTATATAATCAGAAACTGAGTACAGATTTAGCACAGATTATAATTATGTAGTCAAAGCTAATTGGTATAATACTTATAAAGTCCATTAACTTCAAGATTGGCTCCTAGACCAGTTCAAATATGTTATTCAAATATCTACATAATTAATTACTAATATTATCATAATAACATAAATTTCTTTAATTTCTTAATTTTAATTTCATTATTTGTCTTACATTTTAAATCTTTGCCTTTAAATATTATTTGATAATCTTTAATTTACTATTTGATTCTAGTTTGATATCTATAAAAGCTTACTATAGTTACTAGTATATCTCAAGCAAAGCTCAAACAAGTCTATATAATTTTAAATATGTATAAATATCTTTGCTCTCAAACTTTGAATAAATATACTTGAAAAGCTTCAATTCTCTTAATTATTACTTTTATTTATCTTTTTTATTACATTAGATCATATCTAATTATTATATATTTTTCACACCTGAAAAACATAAATAGTAAAAGATCTCTACTTTAAATAAGTCATATTCTTTTATCTTATTTTGAAAGATTCTGCAAGCTTCATCTAAGTATAAAAGCTTTAGTATAGTATTTGTTTGATATATATTCTTGTTTTTGTTTTTGCCTGAGTGTACTTAATCTTTTGTTATAGTTTTAGTATTTGATTTGTAATTTAGTTTTTGGTATCTTTTTTATTTTGTGCACACCCTCTTCATTATTTTTATGAATTCAAAAACAATACTTGTAAGTATTGGCACATGGAACCTTTAGAATAATCTTGACTCCACTCAATGTTTAAATAATTCAGTCTATACTCCAACTCATCATTATAAGCTATATTTTGGGTAAAACCTACCTCCATAGTAATAGCTTGTAATACTAATAAATTTTTGTCCAAACTGTCCAAAATTGTCCAGAACCAATCCTGTTCGCAATGAAGTGTTGAGAAATTGGAGAAAGTAATAGATTCAATCTCGAGTTCGCTACGAATAGGTAGGAATTTCGAAAAGTTTTGTATTGTTACGTCAAGTGATTCTATTCTTTATTCAACGCCCATTCTCTTTGTTAGGTTGGATTCTACGGTTTAAATTTCTATTCCTTGTACACATCAATGAAGTAATTCGCTATCATAAAAGCGTCGATGATAGGCAGCTATTGACGCGCGTAAATAAGAATTTAATTATGTAAATTAGGCCGTATTTCTAACGTTTCCGACTTTTGTTTGAATACAGAAATAGCTGCTTTGATCGGTGTCGTTGAGAGCTGGAATAAGCTAGTACTAATAAAGAATTGAAATTGAAGATTGGGTTTGCTATTAGATTTGACTAATACTCTGCAAATCTTGAGGAAAAGATTTGAAAGATCTCGAGGGGGAAAGAAGTTAAGTAATTGTTTGGGTATGTCACATTTTTTGGCTTTCTACCAATTTTGTAACGTATCGAGTTACTAAATAAAATTTAATATCTTTCTTAATAGGCTCCATGACAGGTAATAAAAGGTTAAATGCACGAATCTGATAACATTATATAATCATTAAATGATAACTTTTAGCCATATTGTCGATGTATAACAAACAGATCAAGGATGGGCTCGTAACGAAACTAATATTGGACAAATGGCTCATGAGCGATTCGGTTATGATCGAGTCTACAATTTTGATGATTTGTTTCGTATATGCAATTTCGAATTGGAACGCCGTAAGCTTTTCTTTAATTCAATGTAATCTATGCACCACAGTCACATTATTTCCAGCAAAACAATTTGATGCGGTGATTCATCTTTATCAGATGAATGCGTTGAAGCCGTTGGAAAGGTTGAAACCTTCTCAACAGGAGAATAATTACAGAATCTCGAATATAATGCAACTTAGTGTAATAATATCATTTTAATTTCCGTGGTTATTATTGGTTTCTTCAAGAGCTTTTTAATAATTATAAAACTATTCTAATAAATACGTACAAATAAATAATGATATATCTCTATCTGATCAAAACTGTTACCATAAAAAATAAGTACATGTATTCATTGTCTTGGCATGACCCTATATTCTCAATATTTAAATGCTTTTTTAATAGCCTCGTTATTCTGCATGTCAATTGGATTTGTGAATAAATTAAATAAGCCTTTTGGCAGATCTTTAGTTATAGTTTCTATACGCTCATGGAACATTTCTAACGGAGTTTTTAAAGGTTGTTGACCTTGAGCGGGTTTCGATAATTCTGTAGGTGCTGCTTTTGAATCGCCAGTAAAGCCCGTATGAAGGTACGAAATGTCGGTATGAAGTTTATTAAGGAGAGTTGCCGATAAACTATCATGTCGTTTAGGATCATGAGGATCAGCGGTAGGAGTCTGTTCGGGTGTTGGTGGAGGAGCCTCTGTTTTTGTAGGTGTTGGATTTTGCTTGTCCTTACTTTCGGCATAATAATAAGTCTTTAGATGGCCAATCATACTTGGGAATGTTTGAATGTATGAATAATGTGGTTCTTGGGCTGGTAGATCTTTTACGCGTGCAGTCGTCACGTCACGGATAAATATGCGCAAAATTCGACCAGGATTTTCTCGAGCAATTGTCGTGTAACTGTTTCAAATTGGTTTTAAAGATTCTAGTATAAAATAACAAACAATTCATCTATACAAATAAATATATATAACCTACATTTCTGGGTCAAGTTCACCAGTATCACCAACGAGAATAAACTGGCGCTTCGGAAAGTCCTAATTATATGTTTTCAAAGTGAAATTGTCAGTTATATTTATGTCCTTAATAAAAAATCATATTTGTATTATTACTAACTTTAAGCAATTCTCTAATATACATAAATTTGCTGGCCATCGGATTTTCTTTTTGCTCATATGCGCTCTTTATGAGTCCATCATAGAACTTTAGGTGAGCTGAACCCGGTGGAAAATCATATGTTTCAAAGAATCCACGCAACATTGGAAATAGTTGCCAAGGTGAATTGGAAACATAATGTATTCCCGCTCCTTTATTGTACTGGATTCATGATGAACAAATAATATTTATACGAGAATTACAATTATATTACTGTAAATTAGTATTTCATCAGACAAGAACCTATTAGAATATCTTACCCAAAATGTATAAAGTTTAGCCATCCCTGGTACCTATTAATGTTAATCAAAAAAGCTATTAAATTATATCCATCGTTTATTATACTATCTCTGAGAATTTTACCTCTTTAAATTTATGAAGAAAGGTATTTGATAAGACGACTTTGGCACCGGCAGGAATGTCAGTATCTTTGATTGTGTCGTCAATATCCTTTTTATAAAAAAATTAATTTCTTCATTACTTCATAAATCAAATGTACTCGAAA